TTTAAAATTTATTAATAATAAGCCTAATTCTAACACTAATGTATAGTAAACTATTCCAACGCAACACTATTTGATAAATCATTTAACATGTATACGCGAAATACAACAGGGTTCACCTTTGTCATAATTTCCCTAATGCCTAAATTAATTTTTGAAAACTGGTGAAAATAAGGAACATATAAAGGTATTATCGTCTATAGGCAGGTCATCTTGTACTGAACAGTGATAGTGTGACTTCTTCTTATTTCACGAGTTTCAGTGTAACTGGGTCGAAATATATGGAATGATTTAGATATCGATTTGAGAACTGTGACTTCTCCAAACATGTTCAATTACAAATTGTATAAAGCAATTGAAGAAAATATAACCGGTCACGACCATGTGCGTAAAATGCAGAGCCCCATTGGAAATCAGTTTTTAAACTGTTTCGGTTACCCTGGGTAAATAAATGTAATAATAATAATAATAATGAATTATCGTTTTATTACAATAGATGGGAACTGACAAAATATATCAAAAAAAGGTGACACATTAAAAGAATATTGAGATTATTTTGTAAATAAAAATTGGAATCTTTAAAACTTATAAATATTTAGGTGTCACTCTACACTCCATAGAACATTTAAAAAAAACGGGATAAATAAATTATACACAGACTTTTCGTTAAAGTTTGGTATAATATAAAAAGCATGATCACCTACCACTTTTTTTATATAAAAATTACCCTATATAATCTTATTGCAGTGGAATATAGCCTGACTAATGATTGACGATCTTCGCGGATTCGATTTCTTTAATGTAGGCCTATATTTTAGGTACTGACAAATCATCACCAAATGAGGCAATTATTATATGGATCAATGGGGCACTTCCAATAATGGCTTATACAGTTAAAAGTATTCTTAATATATGGATGTCTGATAAAATACGCCTGAGAACTTCCAAATGCGAAATTCAAAATGATAAAATGGTGTTTAGTGCTAAAAGTATTTTATGTTTGGTTTGGTGGACCATGGATTATTAAAAATTTCGATGCAAAAAATCGAGACTCAACCTATACACTGTAAAAACAGCGTGGAGCATTTAAACACAAAGCTCCACGCAATATTGTCGCGTTTTTGGTGGCACGTTTAAAAGCTATAGAAACGTGTTTAGGTCCGGCCTAATGTGTTTTCTGACGTGTTTAGCCTTAAATGTGCTTAGGTATTTGACATCATGATGTCAAATACCTAAGCACATTTAAACACGTCAAGATCCTAAGCACATTAAGATATATCTAAACACGTTTAGCTTTTAAACGTGTCATAAAGACGGGACAACATTACGTGTTTAAATCATCCACGCTGTTTTTACAGTGTTGGCCTAGATGCTAACCAGTTTCATTTAGATCAATCCCTGGTTAGCGATGACCGTGTATCCTCATACTCCAGTTTCCACACGTCTTTGCAAAATTATTGAATTCTGTTGTTTCGTTTTTTTTTTTTTAACAACAATTGTATTACTATCTTTAAGGAAGAAATAAATATTCTAAACTATGTCTCATCATTGACCTTCACATGAACGATTGATACTTGAAACAATGACGATTAGGTCTATTTTAATCCTTCAGCGATATTTCTGTATTGCATTTAAAATGTAGATCGTGATGATACATCATAATAGCTATCAGTTAAACTTGTTTCCATGCACATTATTCCTTAATTATAATAATAATACTCTAATTCAAATGGCTTTAACCAGATTGTACAATATATATCTTAGATTTCATAATATCGTGACGTAAAAGCAAACATACGCACGTAAAGGTTCAACATCGTTAATGAGGAGTGATTCGTTTTGCGTAGGCTTGGGTGCGTTTGAATAACAGCCGGCGAAATAACCGGTGCTTAATTACACGTCAATCCGCTTTCATGGCATACGCGGTAAGCATATCACAGTACGGTAAGTTTCTTTTTGGCGACTTTGCGCAGCGTAGAGTAACGAATGAAATATATAAACTTAAATATGATTTTTGTTTACCGGCATCTTTTCAGTAACTTCTTAATGCGTCTTGTATTTCAGAATTGAACTACTTTGTGCATAAACGATGGGAGGATTAAAGACATTAGGACTTATCATCGTAATCTTCGGAATAGCAGCTGCAAAATCATTGGGTTCAGAGCAACTACAGATTGAGATTTTAGACAAGCATCAAACTTTTCTACTGAATCTTCAAAGTCAATATGACGACCTAATACAACGCCAAGTAGACATGAAGGAATTAGTAAGCGAAATTGTTCTGAAAAACACACAGTTGCAACAAAGAAATGAAGAATTAGAATTACGATTACGAATTGTTGAAGATTTTCTCAGGGAATATACGTTATCAAATAAAGACCAACCTAGTTTGTTAGACAACTTTGGCAACACGGAAGCTGAGTTAGTAGGTAAAAGCGGAGCCTCTGACGATTGTGAGGATCGTTTGGCTGCAGTAAATAATATCCGCTCGAATATCAACCAAGAAAATAATGGTGAACAGAAAAACGTAAACGAGTTGACGAACATTTTGAAAAGTTATGAGCACTATTTCAAAGAAGTTTGCCTTCCAGAGAATTTAGAATTTCCAAGGGACAACAAACACTCAAGTTTGAGTGAATTCCTTGGAAATCGAGAGGCAGAAATATTCGAATACAAACGAACTCGCACTAGAAAAGCGAAACGAAGTTTCCATGATTCCGCTAGCGAATCTTCAAGCGAAAAACATATTCCTCAAAATGACCTAACGTTATATGAATCCGCTTTCTTGAAACTGAACGAAAACGTTGAGATGCTGAGTGGACGTCTAGGACATTTGGAGAAGTCACACCGGAACATCTATAATAACCTCAGAGATCTTAAACTCAGAGATCAAATCAGGAAACAAGAAGAAAGCTCATATGAAAGAGTCCGTCGAAACACATTGACAAGTGAGTAGAGACAAACATATTGATAAAAAAATTAATCATATTTATTATCCTCAATACCATATTAAAAAATATATATCAAAGATTAGGTTAAAGAGTTATAAAAATAACATTTAGGATGAATGTTATAAGATATATATGCCCGAACTAATATTATAACTTAATTTTCCTAATTTTCTGATGGCAACACAGAAGCTCATGCGTCTTGTGTATTGAAAGTCAGATGTGTCTTCGAGTAATACGCTCTTGGTTATATTACAGTGTAGGCCTATAGGCCTCTCTTAATTACGCCTGCGTACGTAAAAATACTGAGGAAACCAATCAGTCGACTGCTCCTTATTTATCTTTCTAAAATAAGACATTTTTTCAAAAGTTTCGTGATACAATACAGAAAATATGAAGCTTTGCCATTCCAAAACCAGCGTACTGTCGCTAATTTTTAAACTGAGTAGGCCTATATAGCCTAAGAATTTGGCAGTATTGTATACTTTAGTCCAGAGAAGATGTAATACTTTTACTCATAACTTTGCAATAGTATAGTCGATTCCAGTAAATGTCCCAATGATTCTGGTTTTTGGATGGCAAGCCTCGTAATAATGAACAAAGGAACGATATGATTTGAAATACGTAAACTCAAAAAATATTGTTTTTGTAACTGCTGATTAGAACGATGTAAGGTGCATTCATTGATGAAGTTCGTCGCAAGGCAAACTATACACATTAATAATAATATTATTATTATTATTATTATTATTATTATTATTATTATTTGAAATTTCGACAAAGTTTCATGTGTTTTTATTTCCTTTTAAACACCTCGTAGGTGCAACGCACTCAGTTTTCTCAGCGACCAGGACAAGTAATCTGTATGGCTCAAACCAAGAGCAGATTATAGTATTCGACAATGTAGTCACTAACTTAGGCGCTGATCTGATTGAGAGTAACAGTACGTTCGTTGCCCCTGTAACTGGATATTATTACTTCTCTTTCACGTAGGTTTTTACAAAATACATTTGTAATATAAGTATTATAATTTAAATTAAAGGGCATATTCCTACATATATATAAACATATATATATAATATATATATATAATATGTATAATATATATATAAGATATATATATATATTTATATATATATAAAATGCAAAAGCAATGAAAAAACGGTGTACAAATAGGAACATATGATGTTATAATCGTACTAAGCATAATATATAAAGGCCTTTTAACGAAAAGTTCGTTTCTCCAGTGTGCAGTATGAACAAATTGTCGCTGGTGGGATTCAAACCTGCAGACTCATCACAGCAAATATTATTATTATTATTATTATTATTATTATTATTAGGCCTATTATTATTATTATTATTATTATTAGGCCTATTATTATTATTATTATTATTAAAAGCATTTTTGTTGATATTAATCATGATTTGCGCATATAGGATTCACTCTTGGAATCACCAAACATATGGCAAATTCACATGGTAGTTGGCAACAGGTATAGAACACTTAATCAGTTTTCTTTAAATAGCCTCTGTTATCATTTCAATGCTGCATATTTACGTCCATTCCAATCACCAATGTGAACAATGATGATATAATTATGCTGACGTGTGCATGATACGAAGATGATACATTTTACATGACCAGTCAACAAGGTTACTTAGAAGCGGGTCGTTTGTCATTTTAGATTTTAATCAAAATCACTTTAAAGTGGCAACAACGTTTTGAATTGTCAATTAAATGTTTAATTATGAACCAAATTATTCAAAACTAAATTAAAGTGGCCTAACTAAATTACGTCTCCGAGTATGCCAATCAGGAAATGTTGACGAGGTCCTCGAACCCTTGAAGGTGAGTGCCGCCCCTTGGCAGTGCAACATTCTCAACGTGCAAACGAAGGAGCAACTTGATGGACTAGCGCCAGGAACATAATCCACGGTTTAGTGCATACAACGTGTTCCACCAGTAACCATATTACCAACTGTGCCTAATTTCTGAACTCAAAAAAATAAAAAAGAACAGTATAATTACCATAAATGATCAAATACCCGCATCTTAAGTACTGCTCTGAATGTACAGTATATTATTATATGGTATGCGAATTAAATAAAATCCCCACAAGTAAAGTTCAAGTTCATTTTATTGGTCATATACAGTAGTGAATAAAATACATGAAATTGGCTTTCTCTGTACAATGTACAGAGTACTATACATTATGAAACTAATCTAAGCACAGATTGCACAGAATAACACACACTGAAATATGAAAAAGTAAATGAGCAAAATACATGACTATCTTCTTTTAACACCTTAATTGCACTTGAAATCTTTGTGTCCATTTTTTGTTTGTTAATGAGGAAACAATTCTACCGGATCTGCTAAAATTGATATTATTGTGGAGTTGGTGGTATTATCAATGATTACATTACACATTTTATCTAACAATTTAAGCCTTACAAACTACTTGAGCACATCTTAGGGACACATTTGTGATACAAATAGACCAAAACTAGAAAGTTAGAAGTAACAAAATATATTGACCACGTTTCCAACCTATGCGCCTTATACAAATTGAAAATTTTATTATAAGCGTATCACATTATACGTATAATTCTGTTCAGAATGTCAAAAATAAATAAATAAAATATATTAAGTTAGACTAAAAGAGAACTGTTGTATGCTATTGACACGATGTGCTATATGTGGTAATGATGTCATCATCACAATATTTAGCCATGTCACATGTTTTTATCAAATAGGCCTACAATTTGCTCTGCATAGGTTTTGGATTCCTGTCAGTTTTATTGAAAACACCGCTACAGTTAGTAGAATATTAAGTTGATTGGATTTCTCGATGAAATGTCACTAGTATATTTGAAATGAAAATGATTTATGGACCTAATTTTAAAAATCAAGAAATACGACGACCGAAATTTCAATGACATAACAATTTATCTTATACAGTGAATAACATACATAGGAAATCGGAAATTCGAATGTAGGCGATGTTATAGTAGATAAAAATTGGACTGAATATCTGCAAGCGTTTTTAGGCAATCTAATTCGAGGCAATGAATTACTGTATGTTATTATATATATATAGGCCTATATATATAGGATATATATATATATATATATGCTCACTATTAAATAAATATATACCTGGCAACTTATTACCTTCTCTCCGGAGTTTTTTGTTTATATATATACTGTCTCTTATACACATCTAGATGTGTATAAGAGACAGCATGTATGTCTACTGCTACTGCTTTCAGATGGTGAATAGATAAGTGCTGTCTCTTATACACATCTACAGGATGATTATCAACAGGTATATCTGCATTTTACAATGTACATGTATACATGTATTTCAACATCATTTCTTCAATAATATTGTTTTAATATCATAGGACCCACAAGGGCCAATCACATCACAGTTGCACAAACAATTGCAAGTTTAAAACGGGAATATGTTTTATGGTCTATTAATATTTCACCATAGCAAAATAAGGGCCCAGGTAGTTTTCAAATATTTGCTTTCTTAAAAAAATATTAAAACATAACCCTGTTTGCAGTAGGCCCATATACCAAAATCATGTTGGTGATACTACGGTACCGTATCGCTCGGGCTGATACGGAGCACTGTAATTTAACTAGTTTCTACAATACAAACCAAACACGTTATATTTCTCTTAAAGCATTCGTTTAATTTGTGTTCACTTATCTATTCAACATCTCTAGGTTAATTGAAAGAACCCGAATGAGTCTTGAGAAGCAATTATACGGTGCAGTGGCTGTGCAGTCCATAAAATGCCTTCTGTGACTGTAGCAGTTAAGATGCATCCTTTTCACATCGCAGTTTCCCAACGGGGGTGCGGCAGTAGGGCGATTTCTCCGACACCGAGAGAGTTGATAATGTCCCTGGTGGAGATATGCACTCTGGCTTGCCACCAGAACCAAAAAGAGGTGCAGAGGGAGGGCAGAACCCTCGGAAGCGTCGGCTAGGAATTTGAAAGGCTTTTTAATTGACTTTTAGAATCTGATAATCTGAGGTAGCTCTCATGAAAACCAGCCCCCTCCCACACTGGCGCCACCACTTATAGTACAATAGCAAGTTTCAAATCCTATTCTTTTAAAATTGTATTATTACTTTAAATTTATTTCATATCATTGATGTTTGTAGGCCTATAGGCCTATGAGTTGTCTCTGGAATAAAGGGTATGATACTCGCCTTAACTCGCTGCACGTTCGAATCCCGCCAGAGACACTTTTGTTCATATGACTGAAATAAATGAAATTGCTGATGAGCTATGCTTGATACGATTATTACAACGTGTTCCTAGTTTGAGCACTGTATTTCAATTTTACAAAGGTAAAAATACTGAAAAACAACAATGCTGTGGGAAACAATGCCTAGATATCAGTAGTGATATAAATTTAATAGCAACAGTTAAAAAGTAAAAGTGACAGCCAGAAATAGAACCAGAACTTTCGGACAATATACTTTCATTATCATTAATAATTTTACTATTTCATTCTAGGTTGCGGTCGTTAGACGATGACTACATTGGAGCGTCGCTGATGATAAATGATAGGCAGTCCCCAGAGGCGTCCGTGTACACGGACCAAAGCAGCAGAAACATTATGCAGAGTCAGAATATTGTTCTGCAATTGGCAGCTGGAGACATGGTGTGGTTGAGGCTCGGTCCGTCAAACAATTACGGCATATACAGTGACACCTACAACTTTTGCACCTTTAATGGCTTTATTTTAAGTGCTAGTACTACATAGGTCTATGTCAATGATCATGTCGTACTGCCGTGTGCATTGAACCATGGAGGATGGAACGTACTTTGTGTGTTTGGCAAGATATACAAGCGTTCCGTTTATTTTTTATGAGCAAACGCGCTTGTCGGCATATTTTAAATGCATTCCAGTGGTCTAAATAATTATTTGAGTATTCATGAACATCATTGGAACATTTTACTATTTATTACTGCTGAGTACATGATTAAATTAATTGCACAAATTAGCAAGAGTTACTAGGGATGGAATCACCTTATTAATTATCGTGAAACTGATATATAAAAATCGTACAGCTTGTTTTAGCGATAGCAATATCATTCTTTAGGCTATAGAAATAATGATACAACCTCCTAACATTGATATACTCATATAAAGCAAAATGATAATGAAAAGTGATAAGAATACAATAAATAATGAATACAATATACGATAATATAATCATTATATTAACGAAGAAAAATCGTAAAATAGTATTATCGTGATGACTTACTTGTAATAGCTAATGGTTTTTTGATGGATGTAGGCCATGTCTACATATTTCCAACTAAAACAGAAAGTTCACGAACAAAGTTCTGATTTTTCTAAAGACAACAATAATTAAAAACTAAAATGAAAAATACGAAGACCACGGTAACTCTTAGACACGATTATGAAAGAGACTATTGTGAAGATGACAAGCAGATGTGGCGCCAGCCCCACCCCAAAACGCCGTCGGAGAGAAAAACCACAATTCGTCGGGGAGAAAAACAAATTATATGTATTTTGTACATATTAGTACACACTAAAATCGATTAAATAAGCCTTTAAACTCCTAAATTGTCAAAATTTTCGGGGGCTTCGCCCCCTCGACCACTTTCGCATCATTTTAAATGACGCTCGGCCACTCCCACTATTCTCTCGTCGGGGAAATATTCCCCCTTGTCGGGGGAATCCCCTACCCGTCGGGGACCTCGGAACCCCTATCGGGGAAATCGTGGCGCCACCGCTGATGACGAGGAAGAAAAGCAACTGGGTGCTTTAATGATAAGCGGCCAACGACGAAAACAACGACCATGGATGCAATTCGGAGGATAAACTCGACTAACCAGTCGAAGATGATGACAAAACATCGTGTGCTGCGGTGTGGCTGTGTCTATCGATACGTTAATGTGACTTTGTATTTTATCAAACAGTTACTGTAGAATTAGATGATAATATAGCATTTATGAAAAACCGTATTCGTCAATTCAGGATTTGAATCCAAGAGCCACCCGCATCCTCTTTTCTGCAGTTGCTTAATTTACCAACTGAGATATGAGTCTTAGTTTAGTCTCATTTGAGAACCGAACCATAAAAATGGATGGTCTTCCTAAGAATACATTATAAGTTTGTAAAAAATGTCATCTTCTTATAACCTTACCTTCTTACCTCCCTACCTCCAGTTTAGTTCAGTTCAGTATCAGGCATCATGAGACATAATTAGGTACGCGTCAATGGTATTATCTAATTGTGAATCTATTATTTAGTGAAGTTTCGTTATAGAATAATTAATTAAGTGGAGAATCGAAAGAATTACGCCAAGAATCTGTGTGCTACAGACCGTGATTAGGCCTAACTGTGACACATCGATACCGAATTTCATGATATTAATTGCTTAATTTTTAGGTCTATAATTTAAAAAAAAATAGAATAAACAAACACTTTTGTTGCCATTAAGCAATAGATTGCTGTGAATTATTACATTTATTATTATAATGCATTGAAATCAATGAAAACTGATGTATATTTATTTTTCTCCTAGTAATAACTTTAATATTTCATCGTTATAAAACTCATTTAATGTTTATGTCGTTCCCCATTATCTTTAATGATTATTATTTGTAAATTTGTGAAGATTAAATTTGAAATATTTAAAAAAATAACGTATTAATTTTTTCGCTGTTGTTCTCGTCTGTTTATTCTGGTGTGGTCATATTATTTCATATATAACAACTGCACATGCTTTTGTAGCTTGTTTTGCTCTAAGTTCAATTAAAACATAATGTCGGCCATTTCTCACGTTGAAACTGTTCCTATGGCAATGTAGGTTAAATAAAATCAAGTACAGTATATAAACTACGTCGCTGGAGCACATGCTTATTATTGATGAATAAGAATCACCTTAGCAACCGTAATGGAACTCGTGTAGTTCTGATTTCAGTGTGACTATCTTAAAGCGTTGAACATCCTTCGCAATATAAACAGAAAATTCAACAATTTAAATGTTTATAGATTATTTTAGTATTTTTTTAGTGCTTTTAGCAAGTGTGTGCACATTTCATTTAATATATTTTAACTTCGTCAAACACTACTACCATTAATATAGGCCTCTATGTATCGTATATAGATGTTTCAATGGATTATGCGCGGCCCATATCAGGTATCCATCCTACCTGCGAATCCTTCTATCACACTACGTAAGCAAGATTATACACACTAGCTACGTAGTGACTCGATAAGAAGAATGGATTATATATGTTATAAGCGCAATATTAATCACTACTGAAACAGATTTGTTATCGGCTTTAATATTCTTTCCATAACATAACGTAAATCATTTACGTTTGTCTTTTATTACTACACTTAAATCCCCTGAGGATATTAAATAATAGCAAAACAAATAAGGCAGAGTATTTATCCGCTTGAACGCCTACAGTATTCGTTCACACATCATTTTCGCCATGATTAGTGATGGCATACTCCAAACCTAACACTGTGGATGGGCAAAGTCATTTTTACCGGTAAAATATACACTTTGATAATTATATATATACAGTTTTGTGCAAAATATAACTAATAAATATGTATAATTATTATTATTATGAAAATAATTTCCTTTCATTTTTATACTTTTACTGCAATCTGTTTTTATAGTAAAGTTTAATAATCACGATCGACAGGAAAAGCCCTTACCATCCTAAACATATTCCTTGTATAGTTATAAAGGATTTAAATTTCCATAATCATTATTATTGTTATTATTACCCTCAAAAAATATTGTTGAAATACATTATCATTATAATTATTATTATTATTATTATTATTATTATTATTATTATTATTATTATTATTATTATTATTGTTATTATTATTATTATTATTATTATTCATCTTTATTATCGTCGTCATCATCATTATCATCATAAACATTAAATGCACACAAGATAGATGTACATTTTCTAGATTTAACGAATTGTGATCGTGCTGAAGACAGGATAAACGATTCCCAGACTAACAAAATGTTCTCAAAATACATTTAGAGCACTTCATTTTATTAATGCACCTCTTTCATCACTGATTTTACTGGCAATAGACGTGCTAACAATCTTTGAATGCTTACCTTTGTCTATCATTTTTTTGCGGAATGTCGAATGTTTTTGTGATTGTTTAGCGACAACGTGGCTAACGCATTTTAATTATAGATTATTAACCACATTGACTAGTATTATGGATTGTAAAACACATTTATTAGCTTTTAGACTAAATTTGCGCAAACAAATCCTCTCTATTCAAAATTACAATCTTTTTAAACTGGTTATTAGATTTCGGCATCCGACACTTTAACATACAAAGATGATACAGACCCTAGCTTTATGGTATGCACCACTGCCGAATTCATTTTAGTGGAAAGGGGCCGCAAGTGACCGTTAAGAACAATAGGCGTGTTCCCTACCCTTATCCATGGAGGGTATTTTATATTGTATTTTCTCCTAAAATTGTGTAATAAGTAAATAAAATAAATAGATTATTGAATATGTTTTGGTTTTTATTGACTTCAAAAGAAAATTAACGTTATAATGACATTTTTAAAAATGAGTAGGTTCCCTGCAAACGAAGCTTATTATTGTGGGTAGGCCTACACTTCTACGGAAAATTTGTTTTCTAAGCAAATATATATAACAATTGAAAATTGAAAGTTATGAATTTTTGAATTATGCATATACCACACAGACATATATGAGATGATTAGGTTACATATTTTATTCATTATTAAGAGGATGAAATAAGGAAGTTGAATAAAAAAAACTGACAACTTGTGAGACGCTGCAGTAGCAGCTGTTTTCGCGCCTAATGTGGCGGTATAATGACTTAATCATGGTCAAATTTATTCTATAGTAGTAGAGGTGCTCAGCTCTTTACTTTGCTGCTATATATGCACACATATAAATTGAAGTATTATTAATCGATGCGTTGTTCATCATGTGTGCAGGGTGCATTTTGTTTTTATCATAGAAGCTCTTTTTATTGATGAATTATTCATTGATGAAATGTTCATTACATCTATAGTGAATTTATCATATTTGAGCGTTTTTCATCGATGCACTTTCTATCACATTAAGGCCGACTAGTATAAAAATTGTTGCTTGAACTGCGTTCCATATAAAAATAGAGGAATTGGTTTAAATTCCTCCATGGTTACACAAAAGTGACAAAGACAACTTCAAACTCACAGAATACAAAACATGTCCATAATTGAGCAACTCGCCAACAATGAATACAGTAAATAAAATTAAAAATGTCACGACCGGACTGCAGAACAATTAATGACAATCCTCTACCACATATTCCATAAAGTAAACCTTTGAGTGACCTGTTAACTTACAGGTCACTCAAAGACACAATAGGCTTATATTACGTAACACCTTTACTGTACAATAGCCAAGACTGTATAGAATTATATGTTACCTTTCGTATGAGAAAAAATAATCACCGACCCTATACAATATAGGTTCTAAGCATTATTACTTTTAATTTTTCTGATGAAGTGTAACATTTTACCTGATCTAATGTGAAAGTATACATACTTGAAACGAGAGTTTTTGATTAGAGTAATTTTTTTTGTGTAGAATTAATTATCTCATCATAGGGTTACATGTTAAAAAATGTTGCTTCCAATATAATTCGTTACATCTTATTTTACTTTCATGCATTGTTATACCCATACTCATTTCTTTCTATTTTAATCACACATGTGAATATGAATGTGACCCGAATGATCACGTCGAGCATTTATATGGCCTCTACATAAAGAACACTGCAGCACCTATACAATTCAAGTGGACAATAGTAAGTTAATTAAAGTATTTAATTGATTTTATTTTATTCAATTCTCAACCAAAAGAGATAGAACCTCCACTAGGATGGAACATACAAAGACACACAATATATTGTACAAACTTGCATTGAACTGTCTTCATAAGACTTAAACGAGGATAAACTTCATAAAAAATATATTTCATCCAAACAATATAAATTATTAAGTGTAACTGCTAATCCTTTAAATAAACTCTCTTACATCAACTCGGCTAAAAGGGCAACATAGATTTAGTGTTTAGTGTGAGTACGACTAGGAACGTTCAATGAAACAAAAGTACACCATTGGAATCAAATAATAATAGAATTTAAGCGTTTCACAAATTCGGCCAAATATAGCGAATATTTATACGGCCAGATTTGAGGAATCTGGCCGTCAAAAAGGTCAAAGGGCAACCATGCTTTCACTTACAAGAGGGTAGCCCAAACCAACAGGGGAAGATCCAGTAGAGGAAAGGGACGTCACAGGGAAGGGCTCCCGTCCCGTTTTGCCACATTTAAAAAAAAATTTCAATGCAATATGTGCTATTCCCCAGCAAACACAAAACGTTCTTATAACGTTCGCAAACGTTGTGCTTACGTATATATCACAAAATAACGTTCACACAACGTTGTAAGAACATTCAAACGTTAGGTTGTGAAATTAGGTTGTACATGGTTCTACAAAATAACGTTTTTATTACCAAAATGTAACGTCATTATAACGTTTTTAGAACATAATATTGTTAGCTGGGTCGCTTATTAAATTATTCTGAAACTACTGTTTGTGTGCTCCAACCCCCGTTTGAAACATTCTGGATCCAGGTTTGATCACACTGCAAAATAATTCCTCACAAAGACTACAGAATTCAGCAAAGACACTCGAAACATTAACTACAAAGACGTCCTTTAGAAAAAATAATGACATGGTAACCATTACATCCACACCGATTGCCTCCTCGACTGCCCCATTCAACAACGTACATCATCGCCACCTTTCCCTACTCATATATATACGGTATATTGTACGATGCGGTTCTAGGACGCAATTTTGTCCAAATCGGCGTTGTGCAGAGAACGTAGGACGGGCACGCAAGAGTGAACCTGTTCTAGAGTCGCGTCGTTGCGCAAGTCAAAAGATTCTTGTGAACAAACAACAGGAATTTCAAACTGTATAATTTATTGTCTTTGATTATAAAGTTAATTTAATTTAATTGAAGCATAATAACTTGTGTACTATAAATATAATACGTAAATTTAAGTGACGACAAAGTATTTTCGGAAGTAACTTAGTAAATGAGTAAAACATTTAAATTTATTGTTCAAAATGTATGTATAGGCCTATTAATGATATCAATAACAATCTTCTGTGAGTCTATTCAATGTATAGGCCTATTCATTCATCAAAAACACCAAAATTGTAAATGACAGCCAAAGGCTGAATTGAAATGATTGTACAAAACATCAGATAATAAAACAGAATGGACTGTCAAAATTTAATCCTATATAGGGGATTAGAGTATTTTTTAACCGTTTGGTGCGTATCTTGGGTAAGGAGAGAAGGTTGGCATTACGCAATCTACTCTCTTCTCCTCTATTTCTAGGCAACCAACTATCATAATAACTAATATTCATTATTTTCACTTATTTGATTCATCTGTAGCCTTAACCTACGAGTTCCTACCGGCTTAATCTCCTTCCCGTTTCACATATAAATTATGACTAACCATCACGTTCCAACTTTGTAGCCAATAAAAGTTCTAATAAACTGATAACCTTAACACTCTATGATACTTAAATAACATC